CTGCTGGAGAGGGAGGGCACTCCTTCATCAGAGCAGCTCACTGTGATATTATACTCAGAGGCTCTCTCTCTGTCCAACTCACTGTCTGTCACTAAACTGAAAAATTTCTTAGACGTTGCTTTTAATAAAAACGGCATGTGCTCTTCTATACTGCATGCAACCTTTCCATTTTCTCCTGAATCTGGATCCTGAACATTAAATATTGTCACAACAGTTCCTGGTCCAGAATTTTCTGAAACTGAATTTGTTTTTGACATAATATTTATTGATGGAATGTTGTCATTCGTATCAGTCACTTCTACAATGACTTTACATGAGTCTGTTAGTCCTCCATCATCACTAGCTTGTACATGTATTTCATACAGCTGTATTTTTTCATAGTCCAGACTTCCTTTAAGAGACACGACCCCGCCTTCTTCAGAAATTTGAAACATGGTAGGGACGTCATCTAATGTGTTTGCTATGGAGAACAAAATGTTTCCATTTAAACCTTCATCTGCATCTGTAGCAGTCACTGTGCACAGATTTGTGCCTTTCGAAGCTGTTTCTGGGACAATAACTTTATAGACATTTTGTGTGAACACTGGCGCGTTATCATTAGCGTCTAACACAGAAATTTCCACTCGCATTGTTCCTGACAGCTGAGGCTCTCCGCCATCAGTAGCTGTGAGGATTAATGAGATGTGATCTTGCGCCTCTCTGTCTAAAGGCTTTTTCAAAACCATCTCCACATTTTTGCTTCCATCCTGCTGATTGTGAACTTTCAGATTAAAATTATCTGCAGGTTTTAGTGAATAACCCTGCACTCTGTTAACGCCCACATCTAGATCCATCGCTTTCTCCAGGACAAATTTTGCTCCGATAACAGCCGACTCGCTGATCCTAAACCTCATCTCCTCCTTTTTGAATGTGGGCACGTTATCATTGATGTCATTAATTTCCACAGTAACCGAGTAGAATTCAATCGGGTCTTCCAGCGTGATTTGCAGATGCAAAGCACACGGAGTTGTCTGCCCGCACAGCGCCTCTCTGTCGATCCTTTCTTTGACGAGCAGCAGCCCTCTGCCCGTGTTCAGCTGGATGTGTTCTGCTTTGTCCTCTGTATAAATCCGCGCTTTGCCAGACTTCAGCCTTTTCACATCTATTCCTAAATCCTGCGCTATGTTACCAACCACGGAGCCTTTTGACATTTCCTCTGGGATCGAGTATGTGRCCTGGCCAAATACCGAACCCAGAGAGAAAAAGATCAGCAGCGGTACTTGCCGTTTCATTGTTCTGTCCGACATTCACTCCTCAGAAAATGCTGGTTATCCAAAAGGGGTATTTTATTCCAATCTGCCGATGTTATATTTAGTATATAAAAAAGTCCAAGAAAAAACACACTTTGTTCCTTCGTTACTTATAAAAAACATACATAAATAAATGAATCACAGACAGTGTGTCTCACGTCTGCTGCCTCGACGCTTGTGTGCTGGCTGAGCGTTGTTTTCTCTGTTTAAGGTTTCATAAAGCAGAAAAATCTCTGCACTAGTCAACAGCGGCCCTGAGAGWCCAAACTTGCACACTACAGAAAATCAGACACTATAGGAAAACCAGTATGACGGCTGAATACTTTATGATGTTTATTTAAAAATTAAAAGCTGCCTTTTTAAATTGTTACAATATATATA